TGCTATATCCATAATTTTTTACAGACATTGTAGAGGTGTGGACGGAGCAGAAGCAAAAAGGAATTGTTTCACATCGGGCTGTACTTGTAATGGAAATAAATAATTTTGTTAGCTTACGTGCCACTTTTAATGGAGGTGCTATTGTAGCACATTATGGTACATGCATGTCTTAGCTTACTTTTTTTATCAGTTAATCATTCATATTGCATTTTGCCAATAAAACATTGCATGCTTGGGACTACAAACATGTACATGCTGATACATGTAATAAAAATAATAGAGCCTGGATATGAATTGATGTCTGTGCCCTCACACAGGTTGAACATTTGGCGTAATGCTAGGCAATGATTCAGTACAGACAAGAATACATATTCAAATGAGTCAACCTCTCCACCAGCAGCTTACTATATCCACACATCATGGTTCGGGCTACTATGAGTGAAAATAAACTCCAAATTGCAAATTTTATCAGGCCATAAGACAAAGTTAGTTCAAATACTGTGGAAAGAAAAGACTCTAAATTAATTTTTGCAAATACAGATGCAACATTTGCAATTTACCACTGAATGCGTTAAATATAATTTCTAACTATTCAAAAGGAATGTTTTTACGGAAACAAAGCATTTTGAAAACTATTTTCTGCAATTTTAGATCTCAAATTAACTTACAAATTTGACTCCATATGTTGTCTAGGGCTGTCAATGAGTTATCTAATCTTCTAAGGAAACGTATACAACATAATAGCAAATCTTGCCTGACAAGCCACTACTCAATAATCCTCACTTCAAAAACTAAATTGAATGTGAAGACTTTTAACACCATGAAATATGAGATTAATTCTTTTATTACTCCAGGCAAAATATATGTTACACACAAAATGAATAATGACATAATTGCTCACACATGTCGTCTATTAAATCACTTTCAGTTTTGTACGTAATTTGCAAATCTCAAAACAATGGAAACATACATAGGGGATTGAGGAAGGGGGTTAAAGTATTTTGTGTTACGTAATACATACTTGTATAAATAGAGTTAATATATAAAATCTAGTATTGTAAGTTAATGAAAGAATTTTCATGAAACGAGAGGGGCAGGGTGAATGAAGTGATGAAATTTGGTTGAAGCAGAGTAATGTACTCAATTGTTATATTTCTTTTCTTTTTACCAGATTGGAGACGAGACATACAAAATGCTGCACTGCCCTCGGCAAAGTGTAGTCATGCACATGTCTTATAGTTTTCAAACAAAATGACTTGCTATGATTTATCCATTTCACGTATACTTCCTCTATAATAAATTTGGACACAGTCAAAGGTAATATACTAGTATTTCTAAAATGTTTTTCTCACTACCATAGTATTATTAAGACTTGTTTGTTTCTTCCCAATGGGAATACAACACACCACCTCCCCATGAAGACAGCTTTGTAATCATCAATTAGTTCATGCACCCAAAGAACAGGAAAACATATAGTGACTATAAGAAGCTACAGTGTTAAAAAGCTTTCAAACAGTGATTGCAAAAAGATCTATTTAAATCCACCCTCTAACCTTTTTGAGATAGGGTGTTTATAAATAAAATCAAAGTAAAAGTAATTTCAATTGAGGGGGGGTGTATATTTCTATAATATGATTGACACCCACACTAACAAAAGCAAAATTAAATTGCCACATTGGTAATGCACATAGTATTGTTGGTAATATCTAATATAGGCAACATAATGAATAGCTTGGTGTCTCTGGAGTAGGTCATTAAAGGTTACACTCGCCATCTATATCCCAACTGACATTCTACCTTTTATAGAAATTAAATCAAAGCAAATCCTTCAAACATAATCAATCCTTCACTGTACCTCAAGTTTTCCTATGTGAGGTGACAAAAGATGATATCTTATTGAATATTTCATTACTAAATTGGATGAGTTCCTAATGTCACACAAATAAAGGAATAATTAAACCCTCTGGGGGGTTCTCGACTATATAAGATTGTTACAATATAACTAATAAGAATATTTCGTCAAATCTGTTTCACGGATTATCACTCATTGTTGAAAGCTGTGGCAAGCATGCCATTATTGGACAAGAGACCGTCTTAGGGCTGGTTATAAATGGAATAAGATTCCAGGCTAACAGTTAAGAATGTAAAAGAATAACCACCAAAAAAATACTTGATATTATACACATGTATAAATTGTAAAAGGCAAGCCACAGTCATCCCATGTGCAAATTTTGCGTAAATAAACAAATGTACATATATGACAGAGACAACTATATTAAACACAGCATGAAGCACAGACTGTGGCGTTTTAAGGTTGATATTAAAGTGGCAATAGCTGCAATTTTGAACATGTTTTTTTTAAAAATGTAACTACATAATGATGATCAAATATTGTTTCCGACACAATTACATTGACAAAGTCATTACTAATGTTACAATGCTAATTTCAAATGAAATAAAATGCAATGTCAAAACTGATGGTCGAGCAGTCACCATTTGAGATCGGTCACGAGTTATGAATCCTAGAAAATTATAACACATAAAGCACACTTGGAATTGTCACATAAAATCACCATTAAAAAGCCAACAGGAAGGGATTTAGCCTCTCAAGCTGGAGACTTATTTGACATTTTCCCCATGGTAAGTTTTCATCCTGTATCATAAAGTCTCAGGGTTCACTTGACAAAACTGGATTTTAATAGATGCCGCCCTCTTTCTTCCTTGCAAGTGATTTAATGTACTACA